GGCGCGGAGCGGGGCCGCCCGGCGCGGGGGGCTCCTTTGTGCGGCGCGGGGCTTGGCCCCCGCTTTTTTAAACCCCCGGAGCGCCCCGAGGCGGGCGGCACCTACCTGCGCGGCGCCCGCTCTCCTCCCCGCCCGCCCTGCGCGCTCTCCTCCCCTTGTTTACCTGCACTTTTCCGCCGGCGGCCCTCGCCCCTACGCGCTCCTCGGGGAGCCCGGCGGCACCTGGAGCCCGGCTCGGGGAGCTGCCGGCGCTGGCCCCGCTGCTGCGGCCATGGATGTTCGCTTCTACCCCGCCGCCGCGGGGGACCCCTCCGGCCTCGACTTCGCCCAGTGCTTGGGCTACTACAGCTACAACAAGGTGATCTCGGCGGCGGGGCGCGCTGGGTGGGTAGGTGGGGGGGCTGGATGAGGTTTGGGCTTTGTGCGGACAGCGGAGGCGGCGCACGTGCGGACGGGGCTGCCCCGCGGGCGCGCACGGGGCTCCCGCTGCTCCGCGAGCAACTTGGCGGAGCGCTCGGTACCGCGCAGCGCTGCGCGACCCGCGGGGGAAGCGGTGCGGGGGCTCCGCGAGTGGAGCTGCCCCCCGGGGGCTGCTGCGGGGTCCCCCCCTGCACCCCCTGTTTTCGTGGGCTCTGTAATTCACAGAGTAAATGTCGCCGGCAGAAGCTGCCGCCGTGCCCTGGCGACTACCCCTGTTCACAGACCCGCGTTTCGCGGATAGCGAGAGGATTTGTTTCGCAAACGACCCAGATCTGGGAAACGCAAAGTTGCGAGCGGCACCGTGACTCGCGCTATTTTGCAGAGGACGGAGCTGTTTGCACTGCGATGTGTCAATAGCGCATTGAGCTATTAGCGCCGGCCCCCCCTCTCCGCGCACATAAAGATCCCTTTCACGGCGCCGTTCTCCTGGTGCTCTGTTTGCCCAACCTTGGGGCCTTTTGTGCGCCGTGCTGGGCGAGAGGGGCTGCCGGAGCGGAGCTCGGTCACATCTGTTTCTGCAGCATCCCTTACACACGGCCAGATAAAGTTTGAGGCGACACAAAGATCGCTCGCAGAGGGAGAAACAGCGCGGCGCGAAGCGGCATCTGAAGAAAACTTTCTCCCGCAGAAAGCACCTCGGAGCGGGAGTCCGTGTTCTGCTGCTCTTTACAGTAATCTCGAGCGCAGTCGCTGTGATGTGCAAGTTTATCGGTGCTGATCCGGTGGCTTTTCAAAGCGCCCAGCTCGGCCCCGGCTGGCGATGCGCAGCGGCGGTGCGGGCAGCGCATGCGCCCGCCGCGCAGCATCCCGCTTTGTTAGGAGTTAACACAGAAGGACACGGGAGCATGAATTAAAGATGAAATGTCAGCCTTAACTTTGAGTGCTGCTAAGGACTTCAGGAGCTCTAAAACGCCCAGTAAATAGTCGCTGTTGTCTGAGATGCCTGCTAATTTTGGAAACTTGCAGCGCGTGGTGACAGGCAGCGTGCTTGCCGTAAATATCACTTATTTGGTAACTGTCTTGTGTTGTGCATGCTATGTTTTTATTTCAGGATCTGTCATAGTTTACTGTGTAAGTTCTTTTTTTTTTTTTTTTTTTTTTTTAATGTCTAATGGCTGCAAAACTAGAAGTTTATTGTGGTCTTTATCTGCTGCAGATGCACATGGAGTTATCTATGTCTTTTTGACTGTATTTCCATTCCTCATACAATGAGAACAGAGCACACATTCAGAAAAAAAGTCAGGACTAACTAACTCTGACCTATTAAAAATGCAGTTTGGTTGCTCTGATCCTTCTGAACATATTTTTGGCAAGTAGCTTGCAGGCCAGCCTTCCAAGCTGTAGTAGAAGATACTTTAATGAAGCGTACAGCCCATAATGCGTATATCAGATAATTGATAAGAGACCGCTTTGCATATGAAAGGCTGGATTCTGGGCAAGCCAATGCATGTGCAGTTCTGTTGCTCACAGTCAGGGGAGAACGATGTGGTTGGTGTACAGGTGTTTGAAGGGCAGAGGAGGAACCTGGGATTGAGTTCCTAGAAAGGAGAGGCTTAATTGCAGAAGTCTAATTTCATCTTCTGTATTGCTTATAATCTATTGCTTTATGATCATTGCCAAGGTTTCTTTACAATTTAGTGTAAGTCTATTTTGAAATCTTCCCTGCCTCGCTTTCCACGCAGTCTGTCCTTTCCCAGGAAAATAAATTATTACTCTGTTAGGCACAGAGATGACCAGAAGGCATAAAAGCAAGAGCTGAAATATTTACTCCACTGAGGTAAATGGGAGAAGTGTTATTGATTTCGCTAGGGACCGAAGCACCTCCAGTCTCTCTGAAACCCGTTCAGTGACGCTGCCCGCTCATCTGCGCTTGCTGCTTTGTTCCCCTCTCGATCCGGTTCTCCTCGGGGCAGGGACGCTGCTGGGCCATGAGAAGTGGCATGGCAGGAGCAAGCACACCGCACGTGTGGGTCTTGCAGTGCAAAAGCCCAGTTATTTATATAAAAAATAAGATCATAGTAGAGGTGGGGGCATACAAGTTACTCGTAGAACACTCCTGTTTGGTGTCATGTTGAACATAGAGCCTTTTTGGGTAAATACACCCTGCAAGCAGGTAAATACAGTGCTGTCTTCCACCTACATGCTTTAGGGACCTATTGATTTTTCCCCCCACAGGGGTAGAAACACTGCAGCCCAGCCTGTAAATCCCTGAGCAGGGCTCAACATGTCGCCTTGTGAGCCCAGACCAGCCTGGGATGATGTGAGATCTGGGGCTGGACCTGAAAGAGCTTCGGGATTGTCCTAGCCCTGTTCGTGTTGGGATGTGGGGGCCTGTTCCCTTCCACAGCGCTGCTTTCCAGGCTGAAATCTCTCAACAGCAGTGGATAAATAGACCCAAACCTGTGGGGTGTCGACTTGTTCTTTTTGGCAGCATTACCTTTGAGTGTATGGTAGACATTGGAAACAGGGTTAAGGTACCCAAATATCCCCACCGTGACCTGTGCTACAGCAGTTCCTAGGCAGCCTAGCCTTATTTTTGTGAATATGATGGGCAGCATGGTAAACACACACAGGGCAAGAGAGGAGCTAAAGGCTCAGAAGACAGCGATTTGTCCAAGGTTAGGCAGGTGGTCACTGGCCTAAGCAGGGCCGAACCGAGGTATTCTGAGATGCAGTCCAGTGGTTTATGCTGAATCTCATTTGCTCTAATAGGATTACTTGCATGTTTAAAGTAAAGCATGTGCTTAAGTGCTTTGCTGGATCAGGGCCATATTTGATAAGTTTTCAGAGCTGGTGTGAGAGTACATACAACTTGACCCTGCCTGTGCCTGCTGGTGGTGGTTCTGGATAAGGGAACTCCACCTCTGGTTTCCAGTGGTGGGTGGGTGAAATCCCAGCTTGCCTGCTTCTAGAAGAGTACTGCTGCTGTATACACAAAGAAATCGCCAAAAAGGAGCTGGAAAAAAAATTACAGAAAGTTGAAGGAAACCAGCTGTTGTCAAAACACTCTGCTTCTCTCTTGAGCCCTTTTATGGTTCTGCTCGTGGACAGTTGTTTTGGACTTTGAGCATAGTTTAGAAGATTTCTCTAAACAAAATTTTTTCACTTATTGAGTAAATCACGTGTCTTATACTGAAAGTATTTAGGTAACTACTGTTCATCATAGTACACGCATATTTTTTATATTTGTTAGAGGAGCTGTAATTCTGAAAATACTATTTGAAAAGGGGAAGGGAGAACTCCAAAGCACGTGCAGCTCCATGCTTGAGTTATCGCTATGTTGAATTCCCAAATGCTTACTTGGTTATGTAGCGGTCTACTTTTCCTAAGGTTTATCTCTTCTGCACAGATTGTCCTTCAAGGATCCAAATTTCAAAAGCACATACCTTCATGTAGGCACTGGCATACATCACGGTGTGCCGGAGCTGCATGTTCTGGGTGGAAACCATCTGTGTTTTACAAAAGTGGAGCAGGAAGGTTTCCCTCTTCCGCTGGTAGGGTGTAGGTAGCTACCATTCACTTGCAGGCTGGAACAACACTATAGGTCAGGACTATATGTGCACACAGCGGGTTAAAAATGGGTTGTGGTTACAGAAACGCTTGTAAATTCAGCATGGCTCTATAGGTGCAGGTTTTCCCCTCAGATACCGTGTGGACAGAGATGGGGGAGCCCCGCGTTGGCTGGTCCTGGCAGGGTGTTGGTGGCTCGTGGCGGCCAGGAGCCCATGAGCCACGTGTGGAGCTGGTACCATGGGGCTCCGGTGGGCAGCTGCTGCTGAGCACCCAGAAAGCTCCCTTAAACATTCGACTGGGAAACGTAGTGCTGAAATGCTGAGTGTGAATGTCCCTCTGCCCGCATGGGGAGCGGAGGGAGCAGCGTGTCCCCAAAGTGCCCCCGTTAGGTCTGTGCTCCCGCTCTGGCCCGGCTGGCTCGCAGGAGCCGCTGTCCTGCCCGGCCGTGACACGGCTCTTTGGAGGAGCTGGCTTGGAGAGCAAACCCTGTGCGCCAAGGGCAGCTGCTGTGCAAAGCCCGGTGAAGTTCAGAGGAGCCCGTGCAATAGTAATGCTAATTGCAGCGTGCATTTTTTTTGTTGGTTGTTGTTTTTCAAATAATGCAACTCTGATGTTGAATTAAACCACTTGTAATCAAGACCTAACTGATTGTAAGCAATGTTTACTTAAGATTAGCTGTCTTTGATTTTTTTTAAATATATTTTTTAGCTATTCTCGTTATTGTGGATCCCAATTGTATCCGCAAGATATTTGTAATAATTTACAGCAACAGGGAGAGTTTCATGCCCACAGATAGGGAGTGTTTGTGCCATGTGCGGACAAGAAGAGTGGGAGTGTTTAAAGCAGTGATCAAGAGCAGTTCTGGCGTGCACGTGCCCATGGGCAAGGGCTCCCATGCCCAGCTCCAGCAGAGGGAAATACAATATTCAGCAAACTCGTTCCCATGATGAGAGCCTGTTCCCCTAACGTTGTCTACTCTTAGTGTTGCACTTTGTATATAGTTACCAAGTCTGGACGTAGCCCATAATGGGTCAGTGCAGGTTAGTACAGTAATAAAGCTTGAAATAACCCAGCAAATAATATCTGCTGATGTTCTCTGGCAGATGCGAGGCCAATCAAAGCATGACCTTTGGGCTGTGCTGCAGGCTTTTATTGAATTTACAGTTAATTCATGCTTATGCGTTTGTTGAGTTCTGTCACTCCCTGCAAACCAAACTAATGCTATTGAGTGATGAGAGGAGAATTTGTACAGCGCTAATCCTACAGTTTTATCTATAATCACATTTCTACTGCCATAAAATTGAGTGCTGCTATACAGACCTAATGGCAGGGTTGAATTTTCAGACGCTTCAAACTCTTATCTGA